AAGTGCTGGGACTAAAGGTGTGTGCTACCACTGCCCAGCTAAATTGATTTATCTTAAGTCTTGTTAATTTCTAAATTTCTTTATTAATCCTAGGGCATTTAGTTGGAGTTGGTGGAGTTCTTGGCATACACATCAACAGCAAAGAAGATAGATTCCTTTTGTTCATTTCCAATAGTAAGAGATGGTTTATTCCTTGCTTTACTACATTAATTAAAAACTAATAAGGGGTAGGAGAGACGGCTCAGTGGAGGACTTGGGTTCAGTTCCAAGCACTCACATGGTAGCTCACAACTGTCTGTAAATCCAGTTACTTGGGATCTGACCTCTGTGGGCATTGTGCACACTCATGGTACACACATATACATGCAGGCAAAATGCTCATACACACAATAAAAATTAAACAAAAACTCCTAAAAATGCTGGAGCACAGGAAGGTGGCAGAGCACTTTTCACTCAAGGGCTGGGATTTATCCCAAGCACCTGGAAAAATAATGCAACTCACAATGAAACAAAGCCAAACTATCAAATATGAGCAAATGATGGAGATTCTTGATTTGAATTTTGATTAAACATGGCTTCCAGGGCCTTATCAGCTGATAAGATTTTCTTTTGCTTTGAGACAAGGGCTTCCTCTGTAGCCCAGGCTAGTCTGGAACTCATTAGAGCTTCATATGAAACTGAGGCCAGTCTTGAACTCAGAAGCCTCCCACCCTTACCTCCCAAGTGTTGGGTCCCTCTAGCAGCTCGAAAGACAGGAGATCTGAATTAAAATCAATAAATAGGTGTAGGGAGACCTACTGGGATGTGGACATAAAAACAGTGAAATGTTGTTTTTCTTCCCTGTGTACTGGCCTGCTTAGAACCCTCAACAGTACAGAGGCAGCAAAGATGTACAGCCTCACCGCCCCAGTGTGGATGACCAGGTTATTTTATGGCCCAAGCTTCAGTTCACAGCTTCCAGGCCTAAAGATATTTCAAAGTAAAATCTAAAAACAACATTAAGGTCCATTGATAGAGAACAATGGAAATCCCAATGTTCATGGGATTTTATTCAGCCTCAAAAGTGAAGTAAAACCTAGATCTAATATCCTGGAAGGGGCACGTGACATTCTTGTGATAGGCCTGGCATGATGGCACACGCCTTTGGTCCTGTCATTTGAGACAGAGGTGGTCAAATCTCTGTGATTTCGAGGACAGCTTGGTCTACACCAGAGTTCCAGGCCATCTGGAGCTACATAGTGAGACAGTCTCAAATAAACAAATAAATGCAGCTGCAAAAAGCAACAGTCACAGGCCAGAAAGAGCCTGTTTATTTTTGCTGCAAAGCACATTTAAATGCCTAAATTCAGTGGGTGTTTGGTCAAGGGCTATGGCATAAGGACAAACAGAAGACATTCCTGATTTTCATTCCTTGATGAATTATTTAACTTGTTTTCTTATATTATTAAAAATTAATAAAAAAACAGGGAGGTGGATGGGAGGGCATCTATCTTGCAAATATCAATTAACCCCTCGATCCCTGTGTGTATTGAAAAGTTCATAGTTTGGGGTCAGTGAGATGACTTGCCTGGTGACCCGAGTTCAATCCCTGGCACTCACATAAAGGTAGGAGAGAACGCATCCCACAAAGTAGACCTCCAGCCTCCACACATATGCATCGTGGCATGTGTGCATACACACACACACACACACACACACACACACACACACACACACACAAATAACATTAAAAGCAAAAACATTTATAACCTATCTCTATTGCTAACCTCTACATTTCCAACAGGGAACAAGAAAGGAAACAAGGGAGGGCTAGGATGTGAACAGGAGAAGGTGGGGGCATAGGTGCTGGAGCCCAAGGCTTGGGACGGGGGTGGGGGGTGGGGGCTGAAGAGAGCTGGTGAGCTGGTGCCAGCCTGAACTCCATCCCTGTGGCAGGAGGAAGATGGTGGCCTGGAGTCCCCGAAGGCCTGGGGCCAGGAAGAGAGCTTCCTAGAGAGCAAGTGGCTTCTTGGGTCCATCTAGCAGCTCATGGACCAGAGGCACCTGTGTTGTAACGAAAGCTCCCTCCACAGGCTCAGAAGCTGGCACGTGGCTCACTCATCTGCGTGCACATCTATAGAGCATCTCTTTTACGCTGCTCCTGTGCTGTGTGCTAAGGTACCGGCCTGCTGAGGACAGATGTGGCTCTTGACACAGGACTTTTCAGGGTGGTAGGAATAGTACCTGCAGTGCTGGCTACTCTGACCCCTCCTGAGCTCAGTCAGCCCAAGTGTGGTGTTGCAAGAGTCATGAGTGCTAGCTTGCTCTAGGTCACAGCCAAAGCTGTGAGCCCAGCCAGCTGCCAAGCTCTTGGGCACCTGATGGTGAGCTAGGATGTGGGTGGGGAAGTCACTTTCAGAGCGAGGACTGGACAGATGGAGACAGCCCCACCCTACACTCTCACAGCTGCCTGCTGAGGGCTGTCTGCTCCCTGGAGTCCAACAGCTACATAGGGGCCAGAATAGCAGCCTCTGCCATCTCCCAGGATTCCTTGAGGCAGGAGTGACAGAGCCCTGCCCATAGGCTGCCATGGACCTCACCTTGAGGTTACATGAGCTACCATGAAGACACAGGGAAGGACCAGAAGGTCCCTCATCTCAGTCCTTAACTCGAGTGTCCTTAGGTAAGGATGGTCCCCACACACCAGCTGGTCTAGTCTCACACAGTAGCCAGGGCTGTGCCCTGTGGAGGACACGGCCAGACCTCAGACAGTCAGGCGAATGCCCTCAGCCAGAAAGCAGAGACTGACTGGAGAGAGCACAGAAGCTGCCCTGCACCAGGCCTCAGCAGCTGAAGAGTACACACTATCAATCAGTTCAGGCTCTTCTGCAGCTCTTCTGGCCAGCCCTGCACTGTGGTTTCCTCATGGACACGACTCCGCTGTCTGTCTTTCCTAGGCTTTTCTCCACTGCCTCAGACGCTAGCTCTTCTTCTGAATTAAGCCCTGCTCTATCCAACACCTCCCTGGCGGCCTCTCTCAGTGTGAGCACAGGTGTGATCACCAGCAGTCCTTCCTCCCTGCTCTGCTTGCTGCCTGTGGGCCTTAAGAAAGTCACTCGTGGACCATGGGGCTCCAACAGGCCTGACACAGCAGCCTGTGGGCTCTGCACCTCACTACCTCAGAAGGAGAGCCAGTTCCTGCAGAGAGCCTCTATGCTTCCAGCTGATTCCAAATGTGTGGGGATGCTGGCCTCCACACCTGTGCTAAAGAAAGGCCATCATCTGTGTCTCCACAGCCGAGGAGGTGCCCAGGGTACATAAGTGTCTGCTTGTGTGTGTGAACATGTATGCCTATCTACACAGATGTGAACCTGTGTGAGCACATGTGCCTGTGAATGTATGCACCAGTGATAAGTGTGTGTGTGTGTGTGTGTGTGTGTGTGTGTGCTGACTAGGAGCAGGTGTGTGGTGAGGACTCTACAGTGGGCACTTGGGCCCCAGCTGCTTACACAGGCCTCAGGCCTCTCTGTGCAGACGCCCCTAGCAACTTGCTGACCCTGCTGGCCCATTTGCTTCCGTTTCTGAGGTCACATCCCTTGCTTTAGACTGTGGGATAAGGGTGTACCCAGACAGAGGGACAGGGTGAAAGATGGCTGCTTCCTCAGGTTCTGTGGCCATGACATCTCTGTGAGGCAACGGCCCAGTCTCCCTACATACAAGGAGTCCACACTCCAGGTCTTCCCCTGCATTCTGCCCTGCATCCCACACACCTGTCTGTGACATCAGGGAGACTAGACACAGGACTGAGTCATGCCAGGGAGAGCTGCAGCATCAGGATGGAGAGAGACAGCTGTGAAAAGTGCCAAGTGGCACAAGGATGAAAATTACCTGGGAAGGGACCGCGAGTGCCTAACGCGACGCTGTTTGCAAGGGTGACTCACAGGGCTTTCACCTTCTGAGGCCTGCTGCTTGGTGACCTTTACTTTTCTATCACAAACACGTGTTACCCTTTTGATAAGGAAAGAACAGCCCACATGACATGAAGATAGTCAGGTCACCTCCCAAAGCCCTTTCAAAGCTGCTGCCAGGCCTGTGATCTTGAGGCTACCTCTTCTGAGACAAGCCATCAGCTGGAGTGTGGCCACTGCAGGGCAGAAGAAGCCAGACCCAAAGGGGAAGGGCCTGCCCTGGAACCCAGCTCTGGTCCCACGCTCTCGGCCTCAGGCTATGTGGCTACTATAAGATGGCGCTATTGAATATCTACTTTGAGAACCTCCTGCAGCTTCTGTGAGAGGAGGGACTTAGAAAAGAAAACCAGAAACACAAAAGTACCCACAAGACAGCACTGACTGCCATCATAGCAGGGCACACTCACCTCTGGACAGTCACCACAGACACCAGGTCACCCTGCTCATTAGGAGCTAGAGAGCCAGGAGTGTCCTTCTGCGGAGAAACCGGTGAGAGAAAGAGGTGCTGCAGGCCTGCTTGAGAAAGGTGATCAGTTGGAATGTGCCTGCTGACTTGGGGGCGGGGACGGCTCCCTGGGGAGATGCTTGCCTACTGTGTACGAGGCCCTGGGTTCCATCCTCAGCACCACAAGCAAGAAAAAGACAAAAGCTGTGGTTGGAGGTATGGCTTGGGGATGTTAAGAGCATTGGATGTTCTTCCAGTGTACCTGGGTACAATTTTCAGCACGGCTCACAACTGTCTGTAACTCCAAGATCAGACACCCTCACACAGACATACGTGCAGGCAAAACACCAAAGCACATAAAATAAAAATAAATTAAAAAAAAAAGCTTTTGGAGTGACATCCCATTCCTGCAAAGAGCCACAGTGCTCCTTGTGGCATTCTTGCCCCTGAGTTACTGTCCTGCTGGGAGAGCAGTTCCTGAAGGACCCCTCTGGCTGTGTCCCTGCAAATCGAGAAACCAATGTGCTTGCCATCAGAGATGCACTCTGTTCAGGAGCAGGTTAGGGCCGAGGACTCCCAGAGTCCCACAGTGGACACAGAGTTCTTACCTCTCCCTCGGGCCCAAGTGTAGACACGGCTGGCTTCTGCTCTCTGAGGTTGGGGTTCTGTGGGCTCCACAGGCAAAGGTCGGAGATGGGGATCATCAGACCGGCCAGGTGTCTTCAAGGGCAAGATGTACTTGGGGAGCCCTTTGTAGAACCAGGCCCCTGACCTCTTCCAGACCTGGGAAGGAGAGACACAGGAAGTGAAGCTGCCTTCTCTCCCTGCATGCTACTCTCCACGCAGCCCTACTGTTCCTCATTTCCTGCTTGTCAACGAGGTGATGGGAGAACATGAGATCCAGAACAGAGTATAGATGAGAATTCTCCTCAGTCCTCTTAAGCCAACATGACAGGTGGACCCAGAATAGACACATTGCAGAAAGTTCTATGAACTCTCCATCATCCACCCACCCACCCACCCATCTATTCATGGTCCTGCTATGTAGCCGAGGCTGGTCTGGAACATCCTTTCCTCTTGCTTCCACTTTACAGGTTCCAGAAGGCTTACAGGTACTGCCACGCCCAGCTTACCTCCACACCTGTTTTAAAACTGACCCCATATTCTCTTGCTTCTCTCTGCACACTAGGATTGCAGCAGGGTGATGCCTTAGAGCATGTAAGGAGTGCTATGAAAATCATCCACTGCTACTCGTGTCTGCCCCATCACCCACCAGAATCTAAGAGCCTGCCTAGCCACCTCCTGCCCAGTGCAATCCTTCTCCACCGCTGGCACACAAATGCTCACAAGCAGGAAGTGCTTAGGTTCCTGACCCATTCACCCGGGCTGGGCCCCCACTGCCAGTTGGCTCACCCGCACCTTCTCTATCTATGGGGGCTGAGGCTGGGGCTGAGTACGACAGAACCTATCCAGTCTCAAGCAGCTGGCTCATCCAGTGCCAACCAGTCGTGGAGCCTCCCATGATCCCATGCTCGGGCCCCAGATTCTCAAGGAGAATGTCTCTGGTCTCTCACTATTCTAAACTAACTCCTGCACAACATCCCTCTGGTTCATACCATTGTCCCTCAGCAGAGAAGCCCAGGAGTGCCACAGTGTCTCAGGCTTGGTGTGGCCGCTCTCAGAGTACAAACATAGTGCATCCTCTGTCTTTTCTAGCTCAGTTTTGTGCTTTTGAGGGCCTAGGCCTCCTATGAGCCCCCTCCATTCCGCACAGCCATCAGGGATTCTCAGAGCTGCTGGGAGGAGAGAGATGATGTAGGCTGGGCCCTATCTCCTCCCCTTGGAGAAGATGTGAATTGGGAGGAAGTGAAATGGTTACCCCAAAGCCGGGCAGTGGTGGCGCACGCCTTTAATCCCAGCACTTCGGAGGCAGAGGCAGGTGGATCTCTGTGAGTTCGAGGCTGGGCTGGACCGACAGCCTCCAAAACAATACAGAGAAACCCTGTCTCATAAACACCAAAAAAAAAAAAAAAAAAAAAAAAAAAAAAAGGAAATGGTCACCCCAGGGCTGGCTGAGAAGGGCACCCAGAAAGCTGGATGGATCCCTAGAGGTTGAAGGTGTCCACCCTTGTCCAGAATAGGAATGACAGTCAGAGAAACCTCTAGGAACCCCTCTGAGCCTGTCATCCCCAGCATGGATCCCCTTTCTCACTCGCCATTGGAGGAATCAATGTCAAAAGAATCCAATGACTCAAGTGGTCATTTGATCAAGGCAGAATCAACTGCAGCTTCCGTGTACACTGGCTGTGCAGTGTTGGGTAGTTATAGACCTCTCTGAGCTTTTCACATTTCATTGGTGAAGCAAAGACATTACTGCCAAGCTGGGAGTGCTCAGTACTGTGTCTAGCATCCCACAGTGCCTTCCTCCTAGAGCTCTGGGAAGGGCGACAGAGGGCTTCAGGAACATGGCTAGGCCATGTCACAGTATCTGGAAGCTCTCCCTTGAGGGTTTCTGTACAGACATGGAAAGACTGGAATCTCCAAGAGCCTCATATTAGAATTCAGAGTAGTAACTGAGATAAGGTCCCCCAAACCCTTAATGCCTACTTCAGAAACATCCAAGAGCTGCATAATCTCTTTCCTATGGAGGGGATGTGCTCAGCATACTGAGTAAGGAGGGATGGAGCGAGGGAGGGCTGGGGTCACCTTCCCAGAGAAAAGCTAGGCTTGGAGAGTTCCACGCAGGCATTCAAAGTCAGTCCTGGGGCCATCGTCCAGCTGTTGTGTGATTTGGACACACTGGATCTCCTGGACCCTCAGTTTCCCCACCAGCAGGTCTGGGATGGCACCATCTCACAGAGTGGCCATGACAATCAGACCCATGAGTGGACTTAAAACATCAAAGCCTTGCACTAGGTACAGGGCAGCCACCCCATAGATGCTATGGTTGCAATCACTATGGTCACCCTATGTGACAAGGATTAACAATGTTATCCTCTATGGGCCAAATACCCTATTTAAAATGGAGAGTTAGGATCAGAATCCCAGGGTAGGCTGACTGTGAAGTATCCACGGGGTCATATTTAAATTGTGGCATATTATAATAAAAGCCGAGAAAGGGAGAGTGTCAGAGAGCAAGCACACCATCCCAGGTCATGCACATTTGGGAAGAAACTAAGATGTCACTGAAGGGCTTCTCTGAGCCTCTAGAGTGCAGGTGTGCACAGCATTCTCCAACAGGACAAAAGAACACACCATGCTGCCTACTTAGAACTTGCCTGGCTGCCACCCTCCACCCCCCACACACACTTACACACACACACCCTCCATCCACCTTACACACACACACCCTCCATCCACCTTACACACACACACCCTCCACACACCCTCCATCCACCTTACACACACACACACACACACCCTGTACCCACCTTACACACACACACACACACCCTCCATCCACCTTACACACACACACCCTCCATCCACCTTACACACACACACCCTGTACCCACCTTACACACCCTCCACACACCCTCCATCCACCTTACACACACACACACACACACACCCTGTACCCACCTTACACACACACACAACCCTCCATCCACCTTATACACATACACCATACACACCTTCCATCCACCTTACACTTACACACACACACACACACACACGCCTTGCACGCCCCACATCTACTTCCCCTGTACTTCCACATCCCTCATATGTACCCCACCCATCTTACCCTGCACCCCTTGCACCCCACCATCCTTACCCTGCACCCCACCCCATCCTTACTAGCACCCAACTTCACTCCCCACCCCCATGTCTGCTGCGGAAACTGATAGCGCTAAGCTGACTACACCTGGCACAGCTAGTGCTCCCAGGTAGACAAGGGGTCTCCTCAGCTCTAGGCTGTGGGTCACGGGACTTCCGAGTCCAGAACACAGGCATGGAGTGCAGCACTCAGAGACTGCTGTCTGCACAGAGAGACTGGCTTTAGATGGCTCTGCTATGGTTTCCTTTCTCAGGTGGTGCACAGGGATGGGACCCAGGGCCTTGAGCATGCTAGGCAGCACTCTAGCTCGGAGTCTCACCCTGGCTCAGTGTCTCACACAGCACGGACAGTGGGAGGAATGTTCTCTGGAGTCCCGGTGAGAAAACCCCCCACATTTACATTTCCTGGACTGGAAACTGCTATGGTCTGAAGAATTCTTGTCTCTTCTCAGGAGAAGGCTGCCAGGGCTTACATGATATTTTGGAAATATATTTCACCTGGCCATGAGTTCTGAGAGCTCAGAATTTCTATTGTCTTTTAGATGTCAGCTGGTAGCCACTGGACAGCCTGGCTCAGTGGGGAATGACTCCTAAATAACAAAAGACTTGAGCCATGAGGAGTCTACACCCACCCTGGGGGCTAGTGAGACTTGCTGGTGTGGGTGCCTGAGGGTTTGAGTAAGTGGTGCAAAGGAGTGTCTCTAGGATTCAGGGACATATTTGCTATCAGCCCTTTATATATGATAACAGGTGTCCTCTACCATTGCCCCATCTTTGGATGGTTACTGAAGAGGATGGAACAATAAACCATGGCCTTCAGTATTAACTGGGAGCCCTCCTGTTATGACCAAATATCTCTGTCTCATCTTTAACGCTGTTGGGTAGCTAGGCCTTCCCTTGTCCACACACCCCCACTCAGGGTTGGACCTGGGGTTGTTGGGCTGGTTCTGATCAGAGCACCAAAGACAACAGGCCATGGTAAATGGCTCCTGTTGGGCCCCAGCCCCATGGGGTCTCTGTGAGTTGTTGGTTAGCCTACAAGGGCAACTTGTTTTCCAGTCTAAGTGTTTTTTGTTTTCTAGTCCTGGCTTACTGCCCTGGCCTTGACCCTCTGACATCAACATCTAGCAAGGAGATACTGGTATTAAGTAAAAGAAAAGGAAAAGATAAAAGTATATAGAATGAAAAATACACAGAGAGTCTGGATACTGTGTACAGTTGTGGTGTCTTTAAATTGTTTAATTGCTGAGAAAGGAACAAAAACTACTAAAAGACAATTGATTATTAATGTTGCTAAATTAATCCAACTTACATGTTTTAAAAATGCTTTGACTTCTAAATTTAAATATAAGGACAGGTTACTTGGAAAAAGAATTTCTGCTTTTGTTTCCACAGAACATAAAAAGCTGTGGGTTCCTTCCAGACTAGTATGGTTTGATGAAGCAAGACCACTTGAAACAGTGACCCAGGTGATCCAACACCTAAAACAGCTGAGATGATACAGCCTTACAGACCACAAAAACAAGAACTTCAACAGGGTTCTGGGTTTGTTTTTTTGTTTTTGTTTTTTTGTCATGATCCCCATGATATGTCAGCGCCCCTTAACAGCAGGAAGTAGTTTGGAAAGAACGACACCCACATTCCCAAATATTGTTTATAAATGTTTGTTTTTGTATACTAAGATTGACATTAACATCCTAGTCACCTGAGATAGGTGCTAATTTATATATAAAGAAGGGGGGAGATGTTGGGCCCCAGCCCCATGGGGTCTCTGTGAGTTGCTGGTCAGCCTACAAGGGCAACTTGTTTTCCAGTCCAAGTGCTTTCTGTTTTCTAGTCCTGGCTTACTGCCCTGGCCTTGACCCTCTGACATCAACATCTAGCAGGAGGAAAACAACGATCTCTCTACCTGGGGTTTTTTCCACTGTGCTGTAAACCTGTATAAAAAGCTCCTCCCTCCTACAAGGGAGAGACCTCTTAGCACTTGCAATGAAGACACACACACA